CACTCTTTTCTTGCTAACTTTTACATTCAAGATATAAACTCAATTCCATGGCCAGGCCTGAGTCTCAGTTCCTTCTGCAACACGTGGGCAGCGTCCTTTGTGGTACCTGTACTCCATGGGAGGACAGGGAGGATCCTGCTGGGTTTGGCTTGTCTATGGGATCACCTTGCAGCTCACTACATGCACACTAACTTCAGAAGAGTCCCTCAGGGAGAAAATTTCACTCCTTGGCACTCATGTTGGTTCCTATCTGCTCACGTTATATTTTTTTTTCCACCTCTAGACTTTATTTTAAGCTACTTTTGCTTTTTTCCCCATCATTCTCCAGGTTTAGAGGGGAGGATTAACTGATGTTGCTACACAGTTTCCCCTACATACTTTTGCTTTGACAGTAGACCTGTTTGCAAGGTGAGTGGCAAGAGCCACCTCAAGCACTACCTGCCTCCAGACATGGGCAAGAAGGTAAGTACAGGGAGCTGATGATGGCCTTACCCCAGCTAAAGCCAGATCACCCCAGGGTGCATAAAAGAAGAGTGATGGTGTAACACAAGGTATGATGCTCCTCAGCTGGTGGGGAAGAGCAGACAGTGCCTTCCAGTAAGACACAGTACAACAAGGGTATCATGAGTCACTGGTGGCTTTTTTTTCCAGATGGAAACAGAGAAAGGTTTCCCTGTCGTCAGTCCTATGCACACACATACCCACATGTGTGGGTCAAGGTCAGAAATAGCACCCAACACACACCCCAACACTCATGCACTGACTTATCATAGAGATGAGAAGCTAAGCTTCCCCTTTTCCTCTCTCTTGCAAAATCCTACAGTAGGAGCCTACCAGCTGACAGGGGTTGAGCAATGCCACTTAAGTAAGTGACAACACAGAAGAGAGGCTTTAGCAAGTGTCCTCTTGAGCCCTGGGGTCCTGCCCCAGGGTCCATGGTCACAATGAGCTGTGCCCCATGGCAGAGGGGGACAGCAGGGAGATGCTCACAAGGGATTTGCATTGTGGAGCCTGCAGGTTGGCTGCCCCCTCTCACTCAAGTCAGGTGGATGCCAAGAGTCCTAACCCTCCTTGCCAAACCTGGGGCCATGGTGCCTGAGGAGGGAAACCCAGCCCTTGCCCTCATACTTCCTCACCAAAGCTGGGCAACAAGAGTTGTGGAGGGACCCATCATTGTCAGCAGTGACTTAAATTAGGACACTTTCCTGTTTAACTTTGCAGAAATTATCTCCAGTTCACTGTGGCATCCCACAAGGAAAGGGATCTGAAGTCTTACCCCTCCAGTATTGTCAGCAAGAGATAAAGCACCAAGATTCAAAATGGGATGTGGGTTTGATCAGTAAATTCATTCTCCTGAGGGATCCACGCTACAGTGATTCTAAGGCATTGCATGTTAACTATGAATACAAACAACCTAGCATCTTCAAACACTCACTAAAAGGTCTCCATGCCTTAGGCTAAGCAATATTGTATGTCCTGAGCACATGCACATTAGCAACAGCACTGGGCAGCCCAGCTCTATGACTGCAGAGTGACCTGGATCCTCACACGGTCGTTTGCTTTCATAATTGCAGAAAACTGCAATTTAGGCTGTGTGCAGAAAGAAGTGTCCATAGCTGACAGGGCTGCTGATTATAGCTTCAGAAAGAGCCTGCAGGGCCACATCCCAGGAAGCAGCACGAGGAGGGGATGAGCCAGGAGCAGGGTGTACTCAAGCACTGGCAATGCACTCACCAACAGGGCACAGTCCCACGGGGTCTCCCCACGGCCAGCAGAGCCGAGGATGGGACAGGGTCCATACACAGAGGGAATAAACAGCAACCAGGATCCCTCCAGGGAGCCTGGTCTGGAGACAAAGCTGCAAGGCAGGTCCAAGGTCCATGCACCAGCCAGGGCTGGAGATAAGGATACACAGCTCAGATGGGGACACAGGACCCAGGCCTGAGCTTAAATAAGGTCTTGAGCCATGGGCAGAGCAGGTGTGTGAGGGTTCTAGCTAAAGCAAAAAATCCAGAGGTAACCTGTACCCCATTTCTCAACACTGTGGGCTCTTCAATTCTTATGGCAAAGCCACTTTTTATCACAGACTCATACACATAGAAGATGCCCTTCAAAAAGCCAGCTAGGCTGCATGCTGCCAGCCTGGTCAAGTAGGATCAATACTTCTGCTTGTTCACGCTAAGGAGGATACAGACCTGTTGTCTTCAACTTGAGCATGCCACAGCTGTGGCACACCAGTAAATGCCCACAGGCTCCAAAAACATCATGACTTTCACAGCTCTGTCTCAGATGTGCTTTGCGGTGCTGGGAGCTACAAGTCTTTGTGAGTACAGGTCTACTAGCAGGCACTGCTAAGGAGAGCTACACTTCTCAGCTGGCTGGCCCTAAATCTTTCGCTGAGTCAGGCAAAAGCTTTGGGTTCATGAGCTGTAGCAGCAGTAAAGCTCTGACCCCTCTAAGTTTAAGGAAGCATGACCCCAGAATTGATCCATCAGATGTGAGCAAAGCATAACAAAAGACAACATGAAATAACATTTCCCTGGTCACACATTCACATGTCACCAACTTTCGAAAAAGTCAGGCAGCAAATGCAGCTAAAAATGAGGGCTCAGTGTTTAGCTGAACAAGCTACCACCAGCCAGCCAAGCAAAAAGACCTGCCAAGCAAAGTGATCTTGTCAGGGAAACTTCCACTAATGCTCCTAGCCTGCTGCAAATGCAAAGTAACACAGCCCACAGTGGAAGGTGCTCCAATTAGGTCAGCCTTCTTTGGCATTTGCTCTGAGTGCAAAGCACGTAGGGACAATCACCAAGGCTGACACTCAACAGCTTGTGAGGATGGAGTAATCTGTGCTATTTGTTCATGCCCTTAGTGATGGGCATTTCAACATGAAAATGCAATACCTTTGAATTTAGGAGCTCGTAACACCCAAACTCTCATTTTCCCTGGCATGGCCACTTCCTTTCCCCCATGCTGTTCAGAGATGCTGGATAATAATAATAAATGTCCTGGATGGACACGCTTGGCATAGGGAGACACCAGCTCACCCCCCTGACGATGTGAATCAAGATTGGCCTTGTGTTCACCACAAGCTCATCAAACCCCAGCAATGACAGGAGGTGGCACAGAAGATGCATTCCTATGAAGTTGCATTTCCCACCAGAAGCTTGTTCTCTGGGTATTCACACTTGTTTTGCTCTCCTTTATTAGATCCAAGCACACCCATGCCCAAAGATGAGGTTGTGTTAGCTCTCATCAATTTTTTTTAGGCAAAGAATAACTTCTCACCTCAAGATGCTTTCTCCAGCCATCAGATCACTTCTGCAGCTCTTCTCTGCACCCCTCCCACCTTCCTTTCAACACAGGACCACCAGATCTGGACACAGGACTCTTTAAGCTTGAGGATTAACAAAGTATGGCAGAACACTGGACTTACTTTATCCCTCGGTGATATTTACACCAAAGGGAGCATGTTAAGCACAGAGAAGCAAAGGCACAAGACACAGAAATGCACTATTAGAACTATACAAAACATGAAGCATCCCCATTGTTCACCTCAGCACCTTCATCCTCTCCCCAGACTCCCTTCTCTTGACCTGGCACCTTCCCCTATTATCTGAGGATGAAATTTCTTTCAAGGGGATCCTGGTTCTTCCTCCAGAAATGAAAACTGAGTCTCCTTATATGCACAATCCCAAGCTCAGCTCACTTGCCTTGTCTCTTTTCCTTGGGCTCTGGGACATCACAAGACACTGAAAAGCTACTGGGTTTTTCTTCTGCATCTGGAGCAGTCTTTCCCTGCGATGCTGCCATCAACCCCAAATTTGATGTCATACTTACTGAAAGTAGCAGCAATGTACTCAGCTGAGTGAAAGACCCTACCAGGCTTGAACATGCACTTGGCTGTACAGGGCTGCTTCTGGAAAGCATTGATACTTGCAGAACAAAACCAGATTTTGTGGACAATACCCATTTGCTATAAAAACTACCCTGGCTGACAAGTTTTCTTTCTTACCAGTTTTCCACTTGATGCCCCGGGTGCATTTCTATACTCATCTCTGCTTGTAAACAGAAGCTGTGACAAGTCAGGCATACATGCCAAAGCAGCTGTTCCTCCAGCTCCACCAGTCATAGTTTAGGTTATAAATTAAGTGAGCCATGCTACTGCTTGGACTAGCAGGAAATCCCTGGGGCTTTCAGCTCAGAAAAAGGCTAGGATTGTTACAACATGCAAAGATCAGATACCATAAGAAGTAAGGGTTCCTAGAACACCTCAAAGGCAGTGCAGGAAGACACCAGAATGGCTAATTCACACACAGTACAGCTGCACAAACACATGCAGCCTTGCAACAGAACAGTATAGCAGTGAGGACCTGAAGCAATCACAGCACAGCTTTGGTAATCTTCCCAAAACTGCTGCATACTGCAGTGTTTTCAAAAGCAGAGTGATTCTTTAGTGAAAACAGCTAAGGACCTTCCACCACTTACACAAAATCAGAGGCCAGATTAAGGGATGGGAAGGCAGGGTTTATCTCCCCCCTGTGATCAGGACCCCACACTCCTTCTCACCTCATTCTTCAGGCACAATAAAGTAGGTCACAAATAAAAGTAAACCCTTCTCCCAGACAGCAGAAGATGAAAGAAAACCACACATCACAAGAATCATTAATTAAGTTTTTATGTTTACAGTAGTCACTTAACAGGGATACAAACTTGTGGTTTTTTTAAATCAGAATTCTGATGCTGGAGTTACTTTATTGGGAAAGCTGTGAGAAGACCAGGACAGCTGCCCTAAAATCTAATTACAAAGAAGAAAAAGTTGAGATCATACTGTACTTTAAAAGAAAGTTACATAGTTTAACTTGCATAGCACTAGCAAACATGAGTAGCTGAGTTAACAGGCATTGATAAAGCCCATCTCAATTTGTGTTATTGCCTTTTTTTTTTTCCTTTTGAATCTGAGCAACTGCTTGCTGGTCTCTGCTGGAACCAAGGCACACTTACTGGCAGCGAGTGGTCAGTAGTTTAATTTGGTTCAGCCAAGGAACAGTGTACACTACAAATTCACAAGTGTTGCGCTAAGGAGAGAAAGAAAAAAAAGCAGTTATCAGATTAAGAGCATAAAGTAGTGTCACTGATCATTGTTCTAAACTGATTTATTATCCCATGTAATCCAGAACGTATGCCACCTCCATGGCTCTCTGAGAGGTACTCTGGAACACCTCTCATGTTAGTACCTGCTCAGGATGAATCATTTCTCTCACACACTAACAGAGAAGCTGCCAGCACTTCTGAAAAACAAGTTACCTGCTTTGCCCATCCACACTCAGCATGGGTAATACTCCAACAAAAGCTCTTCAGAACACACCTGAACAGCTAAGCTGTGTGTGCACGTATCAAACCACTGCAGCTGTTGTAATGGTGCACACAAACCTTTCCAGCTAGGTGCTTCATGGATCATTTGTGTGCAGTTACACGTCTCATGCATGCAGGCAGAGAGGGCAGGTATGCAGAACTAAGCCTATCACTGTGACTGATACTAGTGAAGCATTACGGAAGAACTAGACTCGGGCCAGATCGAGAGAGACATATTTGATGCTCTCATCTGAAAACCTGAAGTACTCCTTAAAGACCACTGCTATTAGACAAAACTTCAGTGTAACAGCTTGGTGGGAAGAGAGAACAGGGATAATCTGCCTCTTGTGATCAGTGCTTAGCTCAAAGCACTATTCAAAATAACCTAAGCTCCCCAGAGAAAGCATGTCAAGTCAAGCAGGTTTATATCACCACAGGGGACAAGAGGAGCAGAGAACAGTGTACAAACTCAGGACACTGGACTGATAGCCAGGAGACTTGCAGGCTTGGCAGTTTTTTCCACATATCCCTGTAATCCAGACCACAAGCACTTTTTAAGAGGATTGAGGATTGTACACCAAGCAATATAACCTAGATCTCCACTTATGAAATAGGCTTAAAGGCCCTGCCTTCTGTGTGACCATCATCTGGCAAGACAGGTTCTACAAGGGCAGTATCTTCTTCAGCACAAAAGCATGAGGTCTCTCATCTCAACTGGGGCAGAGAGGGGACCCTGCCCAGACCTCTCAGCCAGAGGGAAGGGGTTGGAAATCCAGGGACCAGCACACTGTGCTCTGGAGCCTACCTTAGCCATCTGTGGCTCATCATGGAAAGCACAGCTCTGGAGATCAGTTGCTGGCTTGGGGCAAGTTGTCCGGCCGATCTCCACTTCAATCGTGTACTTCAGTCCAGACACAAGCTGCAACAAGACAAGCAGGCACACACACCTTTATTAGAAGCACATACAGGGCTCTCTGATGGAAGCAGCCTAGCAGAAAGGCAGACGGTTTTCCAGTGACACGATGGAAACCAGATTCCAGGAGTACAGAGGGAACTGCGTGTGACAAGCCCGGAGACAAGCGCACTTGGAACCCTTCCAGAAACAGGAAAGGAAAACCAAGTAAACAAGCCTCACAACGCAGCTTCCTCAGCCACTAACCGGGGATCCTTGTTAGCCCCCCAGCAGCACAAGGAAGCCACTAGGTCCCCCAACAAAACACACTCAGATTGACAAGACCCAAGCTAGGAAAAAAAAAAACTTCACCTCCGGG